GGGGTGGCGCCACCTACATGTCTTTCGAGTCTTTTGAAAAGTTCTAACTTTGTTGTGCGTACCTGTATCACTTTTTATAGTAGAAAAATAAAATTTCAGAACACTTCTGTGTGAACAATATATTCCTGGAAAAGGTCGTTGCGAGCAACTGTTTTCGAGTTATTGGAATTTGAAATAATCATAAGTTATTAGGAATGACAAGAAGTTGGAATTCAAAATTGATTCATCAAGTAAAGGACATTATTTTTCTTTAATTCGATCACAAAATAGGAATCGAGTGTTACTACAATTCAATACTAATAATAATAACAAACTCCACTGTCACTAGAGCGGATTGAATAACATGACAAGTACTCACTTGATTGTTATTCTTTAATATTGAAAGATTCCAAAAAAATAGGTACAAAGAAGTAAGAATCATCAATGTTGAATGTAGGAGAATATTGAATCAGAGATGGAAAATGCAATGGCGTATCTTTTCCTATATTTCCTATACAGTTGCTCGCAGCGAACTCTAGCAAGAATATATTTTTCACACAGAAGTGTTCTAGAAATTTTTTCTTTCACTATGAAATGTGATACAGGTATGCACAGGAAAGTTATGACTTTTCGACAGACTCAAAAGACATGTAGGTGGCGCCACCTCCAGGAAAGAGAAGAACTAACATGAAATTTGATATTGCTATTGCAAAATACTCCATCTTACCAAACTCCATTCGGATAAAACAATTATTCCAGAATTTATTGACAGAAAACAAACATAAGAATTCAACTTTGGGAACTCTATATCTCAGAAACTTTCGGACATATATGTACAAGAACTTCTTTTTTTATTTTGACGTCAAAAACATGCTCCAAAATTTTTAACACGTACTCAAAAAACACCCTGTATATCAACTCACCTTGACTCCTTTTATCCATCATTGAGCTAAGACCGGTTAGTCATGAATCACCCTGTATATGAGGATGTTCTTATAAGAATCTATAACTCATGTGCGATTAGAACCCTGGAAGTTGCAGCAGATGTTTAATGAAGGAAACGTTTGATTTGACTCTGAGATAGACAATTGCAAAAGAGAGACTTGTGGATCGTGCAGATGAATAAAGAATTATATCCTCTCTATTACTGCTGATATTTATGCTTTATACTTGGGAGGTATTATAATTCGAATTGTTTAGTTCCCCGTTTTTGGAGTACATAAAAAAATTATACAATCTCGTTATATTATTCTCATCTTCTCAGTTTCATAGAGTCGTTGCTCTTAACCTGTTTAAGAAGTAATATTATTATTAGTATCATTATAATCTTCATCTTCATCATTATGATCAAACGTCTTTGATTTTGGAACGGGCTATATAATTTATTAGTAACGATTATCATACCATATTATCATCCAATTCTTGATGAGTTTGACAGTCTGATGGAGTTATATAGAGTCCGAGGAGCATACCATTTGGAAGAATAGAGAAACTCCCATGTTCAAACCAGAAATAAATACTCATTTCCTGTTATTCGGGTTTAAAATGCAGATTCGAAATTACGCCTACGTTTGGCTATCATGTTCGTCGCATAACTCACTCGTGGCAGAGGGTATGTCCTCTATTCCGTGAAATTGAATCCCTCTCGACAAGTTCCGCAGTAATCGCAATATGTGACTACTCAGAGAAAGTGGCAAAAAGTGAACTCATTTTGCACGATCTAGACCAAGAATTGGTTGAATTGAAATGGAACACGATCAATCATTGCGATTACTCGTTCATAGAATACTACTTAATCCACGATATCATTCATATTTGCTCCATGTTGATTATTTTGATCTGCAAGTGCCAGAGATAACCACGTTTTTTGGTTGTTGAAGATAGAGATTTATTGCGTTCCTGTCCTGATAAGGCCATCTCAAGTGAATCTTGACATGGCCTAATCAGATATTGCAAACTGCTTCCGTATATTCATCTGAGGTGACACAAGGCGGTCCTGAAAATACCCCGAAGATATCCTGCTAAGGAATTGTGATGACTTTTGTAACTTGTTCAAGAGTACTATATCTCCTTGAAATGTCCACCGCCTAGGATGAGCTCAGCGAGGTCTTGAAGATATCCCACGCCAAAATAATGATATGATGCCTACTAGCGAGATCTTGAAGTGCTATAGCAACTATGAGCTGTTCAAGATATTCGCATATATAACTTCTTAACGAGGACATTGAAAGATTCGCATATTTATAGAGATATTGGAACGAAATTAACGCTGAAGACTACATTGAATGAATAATTCTGCACAGAATGCAGTAACAGTCTTTTTCTATGACTGTCGAAAACTAGACCCTTTTAATGTAACATTTTTGTTGGGTAACTGTATGCATTACACAAAACAAGCCACGCCCCGTGTGTAAGAGCCTTTACACAACAGGCTATGGCCAATCAGCAATAAAGCAGATTCATTACCTACAAAACAGTTGACACCAGTTGTAATGATAATATGGGGCATGCAGTGAAACGTTTGAATCAGACTCGTCATAAAATGTCATAATTTGACAATAGCTATCTGGCGTGATTTAGAACTGACTTTTTGTACAAATATGGATTCAGAAAACGAAAATGAATTCAACTGCTCTCCACCATCAGAAGTTTCGAAAGCTGCCAATTCAAGTACAATCAGCCTCTTGCCCGAGGAATCTAAAGAAAGGTATGAAGTGGTTTGTCGAAAAGCAAAACTTGCAAATTCGTTTTCGGATAATGTACTGCTAGCCTATTTTGGCGAATTAGCAGCTAAACACAAAGCATCCTCCTTGTGGTCACAGTATTCCATGCATATACTAAGAAGCACAATTTCAATGGAAAATTATGTGAATATTGACAAATATTTGAAATTACGAGCATTTCTAAAAAGGAAATCTGATGGATATATGTTAAAGAAAGCGAAGATATTCACTGCTGATGAACTCAACCAGTTCATCAGTCAGTCATAGAAAAAGTATAGTATTCTACTTGCGTGTAATGGCTATTACTCATTCGAATGATTACGACGTTCGCCTGCGGCTCACGTCGCAAACTTCATTCTCATGAGTAATGGCCATCATTACACGCTCGTCGAATAATATACTATTTTCTATGACTGTTAAAAACTAGACCCTTTTAATGTAACATTTTTGTTGGGTAACTGGATGCATTACACAAAACAAGCTACGCCCCGTGTGTAAGAGCCTTTACACAACAGGCTATGGCCAATCAGCAACAAAGCAGATTCATTACCTACAAAACAGTTGACAACAGTTGTAATGATAATATATGGGGCATGCAGTGAAACGTTTGAATCAGACTCGTCATGAAATGTCATAATTTGACAATAGCTATCTGGCGTGATTTAGAACTGACTTTTTGTACAAATATGGATTCAGAAAGCGAAAATGAATTCAACTGCTCTCCACCATCAGAAGTTTCGGAAGCTGCCAATTCAAGTACAATCAGTCTTTTGCCCAAGGAATCTAAAAAGAGGTATGAAGTGGTTTGGCAAAAAGCAAAACTTGCAAATTCGTTTTCGGGTAATGTACTGCTAGCCTAATTTGGCGAATTAGCAGCTAAACACAAAGCATCCTCCTTGTGGTCACAGTATTTCATGCATATACTAAGAAGCACAGTTTCAATGGAAAATCATGTGAATATTGACAAATATTTGAAATTACGAGCATTTCTAAAAAGGAAATCTGATGGATATATGTCAAAAAAAAGCGAAGATATTCACTGCTGATGAACTCAACCAGTTCATCACCCAGTCATAGAAAAATTATAGTATTCTACTTGCGTGTAATGGCTATCACTCATTCGAATGATTACGACGTTCGCCTGCGGCTCACGTCGCAAACTTCATTCTCATGAGTAATTGCCATCATTAGACGCTCGTCGAATAATATACTATTTTTTTGTAGAACTATGGTTGTGAATATATATGAAGAGAAATCGAGTGGAGAATTTTCATGTGTGAATCATCAAACGTACGTAGCTGAAAACAGCAATCAGAGACCAGAACTATCATACTGTAATAACATCATTGAAGTATCTCCGAAGAAGAAAATTGAGCGGCTGTCCAATCAGGCGATCGCGCTGGTCATGGGACGCGTGGAAATTTGTCTGCTCGTTTGTCTCTTGACACCTTTGTTATATTTATATAGTCTTTTTTTCCAGAGATATTGCCGTGAACGGGTTGTTGTTACCTATAATTGTATGGAATCTTATATTTTGCATATACAAAAAGTGTATTTTTCGAAAGTAATCACTAAATATCATTTATGGAGGACTACACATTCACAACTCATATGGTATTTGATATTGAATGACAGGAATTCGTTCCTTGGGATTTAACAAAAACCGAAAGAATGAACATGCAGAATGGTGAAATGACCTGCTTCCTCCTCTGAATACTAATTGAGAATAGTTTGTTTTGTCCTCATCTTCCGTTTCTTATGTGGAATACAGTCAGTCAATCCTGAATACCTCACAAGTAGATTGAAGTGTTGTGTAAAGTCTTCCTTCGATACAAATCCATTTATTATTCGCACAAAACAATATGTTCATAGGAAGTATGAGAATTTCTACAAATATTTGTCACATCAGCCCATCAAAGTAAATGTATATGTTAGAAGAGCTGCTATAAAACATATTCCCCACAAAAAGTACAGAACCTCACATTTTTCAAGGAGTATAATTATAGTCGGAGAGATGAAAGACAAATTATTCCGAGTTAAATGCTTGATTATAGGGAAAATATTATCGAAACAGAAAATCGAACATTCAACATAAATTTGATCTATTCAATATCAATTCAACCATGTTTATCACATTCTAGGTATTGTATAAGGACTTTCTCTTCTAGATATTTTGTGAAAGTTGTATGGACTGGACTCAACAAGGTCTTCAATTCATCAGGTCTAGAAACAATTTCTAATAATTTTCAACCCCTAGAGATGGATCAACTCGTCCAAAATAATAATTCCATTACTCACATTCTCAGCTGCGTCGAGATCCTTTATATTGTTGATGTAAATATCTCCTAGCAGAATCAACCCTTTCACGTGATCCGGATGATATTTCACAAGTTGATTGAGAAACGGAGCCGCTTCCAAGGGTCTCTGATCATCAGCCAGCAACAGCGCCAAGTTGAACAGCGCACTCCGGAAGTCTACCTTAAGATGAACTGCTCGGCGAAACCAGTGTTCTGCTTCTTCTATATTCTTATCGTCCATTGCCAGCATTCCTAGGTTGAAATACACTCTCTCGTTCTCTGGATCCTTACTGAGGAGTTTGAGGAGTCGATCTCGAGCTATTCTTCTCAGTTCTGGACGGCCAAATTCTTGCAGGAGGATAGCAGAATTGAATAGAGCCTGTTCATGTTCTGGGTCAAACTCGAGAGCTTTATCTAGGTAGGCTAGGGCTTGGGAGGCTTTGCCTTGTTCCAGAAAAACTACTCCTAACTGTAACAGATATGATAATCAGTGATAAAGAAATGGTTGTGTCTAATTCACAAATTAGCAATGTGATAAGGACATGTTATGTTGTCCAATTCACCTGGTGAACATTTGTCAATCAATGTACACCTCTTTTAATTTATATCGAGGAAGTTGAACTTGTAATTCAGATTGATGAAATATTATTCTCAAAGTGTAACTTGTTATGCAAATTACTCGATTATGAACCAGAAAGCATCAATTTTTATGCAGATTTGTGAATTGTAATCCAGGAAACGGAACATGTCATTCAGGTAACTGAAATAATTCAAAGATTGTGTATTATTCTGAAATCAATTCAATCACCTTTTATTCTGAAACTAACAAGGACCACGATAGAAGTAAAAGGTGATGATCTGAACAAATAATTGTTCACTATACGTGGTGTATCGACATGATATTTTTCTCTCGAGATTTTCTGTAATGGTCAAGATGCGGCAAGGTGAATGATAAGGAGTTCTGCAGCCTAAGCAGAATCATCTCCAATAATTATGGTATTTTCAATCTGGTCAACATCTTGCTCAAGGAATAAAGGTCTTCATACTATAACATCAGTGTCTTCAATCTAATCGAAGTTCAAATTTCAACTAGGACTTCATTTTTTTTTACTTACGGGTGTATATGAACCCTGGAAAACACACTCCATAGGGAAATAAAAACGAGTTGTTTTTATTATGATGAATATCAGTCAAAACTTCCTGAATAACAAGTAATGCTCCCTGAATTTGAACTGATACTTTCTGAATTACAAGCAACTAGTATGAATAGTTAATTATACTTCCTGAATAACATAACACTAATCTGAATCGCATGTTAATATAACTGAATAAAAAATTTTTTTTCAGAATTTGAGATGAAATTTTCGGAATAACAATTGACTATTTCAAGTGATAACTTATATTTTCTAGTTCCAACAAATAGGAGCATATATAAAAGTTATTTCTGTAATTCCTATGATATTCCAAAACGCACCTGCATTCATGGGTGAGGATATAGGTAAAGTCCTGAATTAATTTCATCACTTGGTAGACATTCATCGAAAGTGGACATGAACAATTTTGATGCTGCAAAATGTTCTACTATTTGAAATTATAGCATCGTCGTGACCGTTGGAATAATGATTCCATCTGTCATTTGTTCCATGCGATAATGAATAACAAAGTTATTAAAATACCAAAAACTGAGACTTGTGAAAAAAATCAGACAAATGTGTAAAATAGTAATAAAATCAACTATTTCCAAAGAGAATCTGAAATCCTAACAAGAAAGTAGAAGAGTTGAATGAAATTAGCTTCCGATATGTAGCGAAAGACACGTGACCCAAAGGGTAGGCCATATTCCATAATTTTCAATGCGAAATCTTAACTGCCATGTCAAAATCCAGAATGAATCATTATAAAGATATCTTCCATATGCTGCCAACTTCCTGAAATGCACTGTAAATGTCAAAGTGATTCATGAAAGAAGAGTGAAGTAGCTGGAAAACACATCAACTCATCTATGTTAAAGTTCACCTTTTAACAGTGGGAACGCCCCAAATGCGCATACAAATTTGGTTCTGGTAGAAGATCGGGTGAAAATCATTGCTCATGTATTCGGAAGTGCATGATTGAATCTCCCTGACTAGTGAGAAACATAACAAAAAACTATTTCAACGGCCAATAGGATGCTACAATGGTTTGTAGAATTATTCAATGATGGTACCGTTCCAATATCTGTGTTATTAGCATAACAACATTGATTTCTCAATAGTGAATTCGAATGTTCGATAAGTACAAACTTTTTTGAGAGATCTATTCATTCTATTTTGTTTTGATGCTTAGCAATGTGCCATCTGACGGCATATATCACGCGATCATCAAGTGTGATTATTTGGTAGTAGAATCGAAGGTTATAACAATTGTTCATTCAATTATGTGACTGATTATCATATGATTATTCGTTTATAAAACCAAATATGGTATAAGCATATCTTCCGAGTCGTTCTGGCAAAATTAATATTCTGACACATCACACTTGGCGTCAAAAACATATAATTTTTTATAGAATGACAGCGCGGAATAATGAAGGTTAAAATCCCAATACTCATTTCTTGATCCATGCATAGATATTCATTGTTAATATAATGCACATCATTCGCTTAGCATGATGATAGACTTATCAAATATTATATTCAGTTCCAATATCAATCTCAGATTGAAGATTTTCAGATTAGAGATATATGATGAGGTTCCACAGAGCTTCTCTTTCGATGATTTAGAAACCCATATATTTTCTACAGTTGTACAGGTTGCCATCATTTCTAACAAGTTTGAAATTGAAAAAAGATTTTTTTTCATGAAAAATCTGGGACCGCAGTTTTCCATTTCACATCGATATGGTATATTCCAAACAATATATTGAATATGATGAATCAAAAATACCAACTCACATTATAATATATGTCGGGGTTATTGCTGTCATACAAGAGCGCTCTCTCGTAAACCTCTTGAGCTTCTTTAGTCCTATTCAGTTTTATCAGAATATCGCCCCTGTTGATATATGCTTGTGTGTAGTCTGCCCTCATGCTGATTGCCTGCCTATACAGCATGTCTGCCTCTTCTAACCTTGTCGAATTTTTCGAGATTAAATTGGCCAGATTGAGAAAGACGTTCAAGTGATTGGGCGCTATCCTGGCTTGATACGATTCTCCGGGTTTGGCCTTGGGAAGGAGCGATTTAGCCTTCAAGTATGCATCTTCAGCCTCCCGGAACATTTTGAGATGATTGTAGGTACGGCCTACATTGATGTGAGCACCTGACGAAAATTTGATTGGATGATGAAGGCTGAACAAAAGTGTTGAAAAGATTCTGATAAGGAAATAATATGATCATCTATTTTAAAAAATCAATAGTGGTGTTTTCATCTGATTTGATGATCTGATACTGAAATCTCGAAGAATTTTGATCATTGTGTAAAATAGACATCTCATATATTCGTTTATTTTCTCAATATAATAAATGATGAGTGAACATAGTTATGAATAACACTGTTAACGTGAAAATGATATCTTTTCAATTATGCAAGTTTAATTCGATAAAAATTGGATAACCTTTATGAAAAACATTAATTCAATAGAGGACAGCCTTGCTGTCTTATTGATGCTATTAATTGAAATTACATCCATATGAAGAACTATCAAAATATTCTATCGAGGAGATAATATGTTGGTGATACACTATTTTCCACACCAAGGCAATTTCAATTTGTGAAGAATTCCACTTCTTCAGTACATTGATTTCCGATTTTTTTTTTTCGATTTCAATTGAACTGAAAGTTTTCGATCTCCTCTTGATTTACTTTCCACTGAATATAAATTTCGAAAAATGAATCTATTTAATAGATTTTTAATATTCTGAAAAATTATCCGATTATCATTTTGGAATGTTTATTAATTATATATCGAATGCAGAGGTTTGATGCCAATAATTGATAATTTCTTCATTTATTTCATGTGATTATTTGATGATCATTCTGACCTTTGTACCGGGTGTCCCAGTATAGCTGTTCCAAAGAATTATCCCAGTCATCTCGGAAAATTCGAAAATTTCATGATCTCCAATTCATTCAAGGAAGCTTCAGTTGAGAAAAACAAAAATTGAAAGTCATTTCCGGTTTGACCGGAAGTGACTCTAACTTTTTTATTGCAAACAGAACGCTGTATATTTTCTGCAATTTTTGATTTTTTTTCGAAATTACCGTTTCAACGATGTATCACATTCCGTATTTTGAATTTGATTTGATGAAGAAAACGACAAATGAAATTTCAAATTAAACGAATTACAGTGGGCTTTGATATTTTTGTGATCTTGATTTTGATTTCAATGATAATTTCAAATCATTAAAATTGTAGTTGGTCATGTTATTTTGAAATTTCCATTTTTCTAAATGACTGAGATAATCCTATTGGAACAGGTATACTGGAACACTTGGTACATAGATAACGAATAGGTAGGTAACGATAAATTGCTGTAATGGAATTATGGATGCTGCCATGAAGTTGGAAAAAAATTAACTGAACTGTGTTGATGGAATGAATTGAGACAATTGAACTCCAGAAATAGTAAAAAGTTTCATGATAGACAGAAAAAGGAAATAATAATTCATATTCAGAGAAATGATTGGTTGAAAATGAAATGACTATAACATGTCAAATTGAAATATCACTCCTAAATGTTTCGGTGAATCCCTTTTTTCTGTACACTTTTAACTATTCGTTTTTCAAAACCCCACTCGATCACAATTCAGAATCAGAACTCACAACCGTAATTCACAAAGGAGATGCACGACGCATGAGTTCCACAGATCGACTGAGATGACTTGATGCTGATAACTGTCACGAGGTGCACGCGGAGGGTGTCAATTTGACGAAAAAAATCTTGTTCGTTTGTACTTGAAACACATTTGTCAACGATCGTCATTTATTTCACTTCTTTGAATAATTCGATAACAAGTTACGGTAATATTATTGAAATTCTCTCGTCTACGTTGATTATCATAGGTTTCCATCGGGTTTCCACATAATTGTCATCACAAGAAGACCAGTGGAGTTGATTGCTCTCAGTGTACCAAGATGAATTCGTTGAAACAACTTCAAAACTTCAGATATAACTTTGACGTATCGACTGAAATATCGTGATACTTCGAAATGGAAAATACAAAAAATTTTATAACAATTTTTATGGTTACCTTCGTACTTCCAGCTCCAATTGATGTACACGAAATCAATTGTTGATTACTCATAATATAGATGATCAATTTGTGTCAAAAATGAGCTATGATAGCACGAGCAACCGAAAATATACACTTTTAGGATTATAATCTACGGAATTCACATTCGAATCAAAAATATAAGTTTTTCAACTAAACAGGTGAGCTTATTTACGTTCCTGAACCGATTCCGATCTGGGTGATGAGACAGATCCATTTTCCATATTGATGATTTCGAAAGTGTCAAATGTAAGAAGATGATTTTCATGGATACTGGGTGACTGTTATATAGTAGTTCCCGGATGGTGAAAGAATCCGCAAACCATATTCTCTTCATTGCAGGAAATATGTATCTGAAGAAAAAATAATGTAAACAACCCGTATAATCATCAAGGCGATAATTGATCTCGGATTATGAAATATAAATCTCCTACTAATATTTCATCACCTCCATTGATACACTGGTTGTTAAAATAACTATCATCAGTCAACATATCAATCAATTACTCAACGAAAACAGAGATGAATAGAATTTCCGTTATATGGTATTGGGGATTAGTTCATGAAACATTCGTTATTTTGTACATTCTTTGTGAGAATGAGAAATCAATGGAGAATTCTGCTCCTTGTTCTCTCATAACATCTACAGATCGCAGTCTTCGCATAAAGATGCCATGACTCCATATTTGATTACTTCATATCAAATATCAGGAGCTGACTCACCATGTGTTCACATTTGGTTATAGAAAAATGAAATCACTGTAATCACATACCGACGTCATCTTCTTGAACTCTAACAGCAGTCTTGAAGAAATTGAGAGCCTCTATGTAGTTTCCTTGACTTTCCAAAGCATGTCCCACATTATTGAACAACTTAGCATTCCTCTGGTTGACTCTCAATCCAGACATGAATATTGAATATTCATCCTCCCAGTCCCAATTCCTCAGGTATGTCTTGCTTCCATGCGACAAGATGAGAATACCAAGAAAGAAGAAAACTGCCTTCTTCAGTTTGGTACGGGAAAGAAGGTGAAAGCCATAGCCTAGTAGCATACAGAAACCCATCGAAGGCATATAAAGAACTCTCTCAGCTACGACGAAACCCACTGGGAAGAAGAGGTTTGATGCAGGAATGAATGGAAGTCCCATCATTGATAGCCCCTGTTGACAATAAAATGTGTCAGTCTTATATAACACTCACTTGTATGAATCATGATTCCTATACAGGGTGTTGAATAATTCAATACAAATATTTTAATGACATATTCCTGGGATCAAAATAAGACTTTTTTTTCCTATAAACATGTGTCCTAAAATCCACCCCCTCCAAGCTATAAACATTTGTAGTAATTGAACCGTTTTCTGAGCGTGTAATGGTAAGTTTAGGAAAGTGAATCGATTGTAACATGACGGTTATGACATAACACAATGTCAGTTTGGCATAAAAGATATCAATTAATCATTAGTTACCAGAGACAAACATAATCATAGCTCACTAAGTTTTTTTAGTATAATAATTTGAAAATACACCCCTTTCATTTACTAGCGATTTTCTCTAAAACGGTTAGCTAATTCAAGAAAATGCAAGAGACTGAAATGTTTGATTTTTTAGTGGCCAATTCAACGATGATGTTTGAATTCAAATTTTTTTGGAGGAAATAGAAAATGTTTGCCATCAAATCTGTATGCAACCTCCATTCACCCCTTTCGATTCGAGTTACCTCATTATTTTTGAATCAAGAAATGGATAGATCGTCTAAAAATACAAGTGCCTGTGAATTTTCAAAATATTTGATGCATAATTCTAGCCACAATTCAAAATTTAAGATTTTTTTGCGCATATTGCGATGTCTGTAGCTTGGAGGGGGTGGATTTTAGGACACATGTTTATAGGAAAAAAAAGTCTTATTTTGACCCTAGGAATATGTCATTGAAATATTTGTATTGAATTATGTAACACCCTGTATAAGGTGAGTAGTCGAATTCCGAAGGGATATGCTCGAAGAATGGAGGCTATTATTCTGTATTGTCCACCAAACGCGCAACTGAGACGTGAGCTCACAGTTGGAGGAACTGGTGAGTGTACTATTGTTTCTTGTTTCGTGTCATTTGGCCTCAATTTTTTCTCTGCCAATGTCAGAATTGCGGGTGGAGTTTCACATTATGAGTAATAAATACAAGTCTGCTCAAGTATATACATAACTTGAGTTCTTCTATTTATCCACATGATTTTCTCTGAATTTTTTATCGAAAACAGGCCACAGCTCTATTCAGTAGAATTTCCGGACATTTTACTTTGACATTGACCTCACGTTCTAGTAACACCAACTGGTGAGTCTGTGAATGTTTGCCCTGATTGATACACTGAAGCAGAGATAATATTTATGTATGTATGTACTAAGTTTACCAAGGCTTCACCATTCTAGTGAAATAAGCAAATAATGCTATGATTCTGTTCTGTATGTAGAAAAGGCCTTTCATGGATATGTGGAATTGTAACTATCTTGAACCTCTCGAATGACAAAACACAAAACGCAGCTGCCACAACTTAGGACGTCAACCGACCATCATCTTTTTCATAAAGGAGAAACCTATAGAGAAGATGTCAACCTATCAGTATGATTTTTTACTGTCTATCATCAGTGGACTAACTCAACATAATTCAGATATCCCCATATTGAACTACTCTAGATTGAAATTCATTTGCTTTTCTGAAACGTGGATACCAACAAACAATATATCACTCAATTTTTTATTCCGGGATATAAGCTAATTAACTTTTACGGTCGATCTGAATGTACTAGAGGAGGTGTGGCTATTTATGCTCTTCAAACATAACCTGTATGTCTTCTCAACAGATGATTTCAATGTCAACTCGATGACTGAGTGCCAGGCAAATATGTTCAATATTATGCTCCTTGAGTCTTATTGATTATTTCCTAGAAACCACACTTCTACACGTGAGTGTTAGACGAAATCTATTCTAACTTTGAGGATTGTCACAGTACTGTAGATATAAACACTGAGTCAGACCACGACACACTTCTTTTGAATCTTAATATTACCATTGAAATAAATAATAACAAAAGCTCTAGTACTGGACGTATAACCAGCAACAGCCGAATTGACAATCTGATTTTTGACTCAACTAACGAATCTAGTGTTTTTCCAGCTGAAGGAACGGTGTGTGAATTTAATGAATTTCATGATTCTCTGATGCACTATTTCAATGCAAACTGTCCAATTAGAACCAATAAGAAAGTTAGTGACAATTCAAACAAACATTGGGTCACCACTGAAGTGAAAGAATCTTCACTCAATCTAAAAAATTCAAATGCGCTAAAAAGATCTTATCCCCAATCAGAAAATATATATAAGGATGCTAGAATAAAACACAGGTCACTCATTAAAAATACAAAAAGTCAATTTTATCTTAATAAAATAAATAACTCTACAAACAAAAATAAAACTACATGGCAAGTTATAAACGAGTTGAAAGGTAATGAAAAAACTATCATGCAAATAAAAATGAAAGACGGTAACGATATAGTGGATGATCCATCAATAATAGCAAATGAATTCAATGACTTTTTTATAACAACCCCAAAAAATACCATAAACAACATTTTATATAACCCAGGTATTCTTGTAAAATATCCCAAAAATGATTTTCGAACAAATAGTATGTTTATGGCTCATGTACATGAAAGTGATGTTCATCAAATGATAAAAAATGAGATAAGAAACAAACCATCCTGTGGTTTTGATGGAATCTCTGGAATCGTCATAAAAGAGATTGGACCCTTTATACTTGCCCCATCAACTCATATTATAAATTCATCATTTGCAGAGGGAACATTTCCTTCTAGGCTGAAAACCTCTATAATTACTTCAATATTGAAAAAAGGAAGCTCTGAAAATATTGAAAATTACAGACCATCATCAGTTCTCTCGGTAATATCTGAAATAATTGAATATGCTATGATTGATCAGCTCACGAACTTTTTAGATAAGTACAAAATCATTAATAAAAATCAACATGGCTTTCGCGCGAAATATTCTACAATGACAGCGATAACATCCCTCTACGAGGGGATAATCGAAGCCATTGAAGATGGTGAGAGTTCGACTGGATTTTTTTGTGACTTCAGCCGTGCCTTCGACTGCGTTCACCATGGCACACTACATAACTTGTTATACAGATACGGAATAAGAGGCATTACTCTTGATTGGTTTGATTCATACTTGAAAGACAGATCTCGAATGGTTGAAATGTCTGAAAATGGGGGGTATGTTTTCTCATCAGTGGATATAAATAATCTAGGGGAACCACAGGGATCCATATTGGGCCCTTCATTGTTTATATTATATATAAATGATCTGCCCCTGATCTTATCGGACATTTCCACCACCTGATATGCAGATGACTCTACTTTACTAGGTACTGAAAGATGAAGATTTTGAATCATTACAAGCAAAAATCACAAACTCAGTCAACCAATTATCTGCTTGGTCCTCTGACAGATCCTTTCTTTTAAATTCTAGTAAAACTAATTACACAGTATCTCATACCCACCAAAACTCGAACACACCAACTCTGAACATCAATTTAAATAATAGTACAATTCGGGCAACTGGAGACATCAAATTTCTAGGAGTGTTCTTCGATTCCACCTTGTCATTTAGGACTCATTGCACTAACCTCAGCAAAAATTTGAACTCTAATTGCTATCAATAAAGGAACCTAAAAAGTGCATTGAGTCTGAACCATCTCCTCAAATATTACTTTGCCGAAATCCACTCCAGAATTTTATATGGAATTATAGTATGGGGAAACACTAGAGCTGCACACAGTGTTTTTCTATCTCAGAAGCGCATCATAAGATGTCTTGTGGGCTGTCCACCTAATTACTCATGTCGAAGTTTTTTCAACAAATAGAAAATGATAACAGGTCCTGACATATTTGTTTTTGAGCTATTGACATACGTACATTGCAATGGGGATACCTTCTTAAGAAATAGTGACACTCATACTCATGATACAAGGAAAAAAGATAACTTCCACGTGCCCTTCAAGCATCTGGAATAATTATCCAAAAGAGCACCACACGTCTTTGGTTTGTACTTGTACAACTTCCTTCCTCACAAATCATCCTTCAAACTTCAACTGAAAAGAGTTCTAATAGATCTATGTCCTTACTCAATACAAGAATTTATAGAATCGATTTAGTTGTACAAAAATATTTTTTTGAATTTTAGATTTGACCGATTGTCATTAACACTTTAATCTTATATGTATGATTGTATACGTTAGTCTAGTGCTGCTATTTATAAGAGCTTTCGTATTGTTTTAGTTGATGCTATTTTATTCAACTATTTCATTAAACTGTTGACCACTCACATTAGTTTGCATCTGTGTACTTTTATTTAGGTTCTATAATTTGACTTGTCCTATAACCTACAGGATGAATAAATTGATTGATTGATTGATTGAACGTATTGTATCTGAACTACATTATTTTCTTTGGTTCGAAACTTGGAAAGATTTGCTCTTGAATGGTTCTTTTATCAGATATATTGATATATCAATTGATAATCGCAAATATTTCAATGTTGCTGACAGATGCAGCTCTCAGATTTTTTTAGGTGGAGAACTTCTTATATAACATTGTCGTCGGCATATAGAGTGGTATATATTATGAGGACATAATGATATTCAGAATTTTTATTTTCGCCACTTATCAGATTGCAATGAATTACCAAATTCTCTGTATGAAAACCTAACCACTACAGCAAGCTCTACACCGCCTGAGTACTATAATATTATGCTTGATGAAACTTTGACAGTTTCGAGCATGTTTGATCATAATATTCCAAGAGTTTTTCAACCTCCTCATCAGACTTCTAATTGAAATGTCTTGGGACGGAGAAACATTGTCCTTATTGGTCGATTCATGTAATCGAGATATATGAAAGAACTGAATGATATAATGATGAGTTAGTGACGAGTTCGACCAGTACCTATTAAAATAAAAACGAACACCGATGTCATATAATTTGTAGTGGAAACTTTATGTTTCCTATATCAAGTGACACGACATAAAGGCATTACTATTATGTTATTCTAGACTATCGATCTCAGGGCCATTAAAACTTTCGTG